ATGGTAGGTAGACTGGGTGGATGGTTGAATGGTAGGTAGACTGGGTGGATGGTTGGATGTAGACTGGATGGTTGGATGGATTGTTGTTGGATTATTTAATTATATTATCTTTTAACACATTTTTAGGTTAAATTGTGTCACAAACCTGTTTTCAGTTTTGAGTAGTCTTGTCCTGTCAGGAGCACAGTGACTCCTCTTCATTGGTTTGACTCCTGACAATTGGACGAGTGATAAAGAGTCCAGTCGTTGTTTTCTCAGTTCAGGTTCTGTCTGCTTCAGGGACGATGCTCAGCCTTTACTGTTTGTATTTCGTGTGCTTCAGCTCTGAAACATTTACTGATGCACTGATGTGTCTGTTTGTTGTGGATGTAAATGTTTTCAGGGGTGGTGGACTGTGCTCCCTACAGCATGATAACAGATTTCCCCTGGCTCCGGACTCTCAGAGCAGCTGATCCCAACAGCTACGCCCGCTGTGACTTTGAGGACGATGAGAGCAGTGAGTGTCCTCACAGCATGATTCTGTTTGTGCACAACACACGAAACCTGTGAGGAAATGACAATTAGTGTACGTTATCTAAAGCAGCTGCAGATTGTGTCACAGTCTCCCATCCTGAGCCGCACGGAGGCGACAGTGGAAAGGAATGACTCCGTTTTAACAGGAAGAAACTTCAACAGAACCAGGCCTGACCCGCTGCAGTTAAGAGGACAGGAGAGACCAGGAATAAATGTTTCTTTATTAACGTCTCCTTAAATGAGATGGAAAAAGCAACAAATTGAAAATTTTGTGAGCTTTGAATATTGAGTTTTTCCTGAGCTACAGCAGCACGTGGAGTTCAAAGGTTGAGCTGGGACTAAACTTCTGGAAACAGACTAATATTAGATTTGTGGACTCGCAAGTTCAGAAGCCACAAAAGACAAAAACGTTTTTCTCAATCAGAGATGGAGAAGTGTACATTTTAATGCAGTACAGTTCTAGTAACAGTTTAAAACAAGGCAGGTCCAATGGAGCATGAAGGAACCCCTGCTCGTGACCTTTGACCTTCATGTTTCCAGCAGCTGCTCTGTGTGGCAGCTGCTGTTAAAATTAGTTTAATTTAGTTTAGACTGTGTCCGTACATAACCTTTCTCTTAAACTTCATACACATGCATCATCAGTGCTTCTCCCAGCTTCAAGCTCAAGGTCATGAATCAAGGTCAAAGTTTATTCAAGGTCTTTGTCAGGTCAGTTGCTATAAATTGTTGTCTGATAGTTTGTCGACGAGCATTTAATGTGCCATATGCAGTATTTCCTTCTCCCAGGTGTCAGTGCGTGCGCCACTAAAACTATAAATTCAAGAATGTTTCTGTAAAGTGCCCTGAGACAACTTTGTTGTGATTTGGCACTATATAAATAAACTGAACTGAACTGAATTGAATTGAATGCACTGGTAAGGCTAATGCACTATCCAGTTACAGCTGTAACAGATATCTCAGCTTTGCTCGTAAGTCTGGACTCAAACATCCAACTAGAGGCCGAGCTGAACCCAAAGCAGTAAACAGTAAAGGACGTCACAGAACACAAGGACAGGTCCACGGGTAACGTTGTGGAGACGTGAGGACTCATAGCGGACTGGTGGACAGGAGTCTCAAATGTTTATTTACTTGTTTGTGTTTGTTCTTATGTGTTGACATCATGATTGGTGTGTGTGTCTCTCAGCCACCATCTACGCCCCGCGGCGTAAAGGACAGCTGTCTGCAGACATCTGCATGGAGACCATCGGGGAGGAAATCTCTGAGCGCAGGCAGAACAAGCTGGGGGTGTTTCAGAGGGTGGTGGTCCTCTTCCTCCATCACTGCGACACCCCCGGAGAGCCTGTGGAGGACGACTACATCTGAACACCAGGCCACCCTCAGCCAGACTCCCCAACAGGAACCTCCTGGAAACTCTGAGCCGTGATGCTGCTGAAGCTGCTAAAGCTACTCCAAGGACTCTGGGGGTGGTTTGGGGGTTGTGTGTGTGTGTGTGGGGGGGGGGGGGGGGGGTGCAGTAACCTCCTCCTGTAGTCCTGAAAAATGTTTTTGTTTAAAGCAGAATCTTTTTTTCACCTTGTCAGACTGGAACATTGGAACATCTGGATTGTTTCCTGCTGGTTCTCTTTTCAGCACCGTGTTTATGCTGAGCTGATGTCAGATGAGGGTAATGTAAAGGAAAAGCTGCACGGTCTGTCTCGTCTTTATCTGCACTGTCTGTTGTGAGAATACACGCACCTCAGGACGAAGCCTTGCTGTTCCTCATCTTCATTTTATCGCCATGCGTTTTAATTTAGTTTTATTTTCCCTCCTCCTCCAGCAGACATGCTGGTACCTTTTGCTTGTGGATGGTTCACAGCCAGAACTTTGTAGATTTATTTACACGAGGTCCTCAGTTGAAAGCTCATGGTGTCATTCATAGACCAGCTTCACATCTTGTTTTATGTTTCAGGCTGATGCTACAACTGTTTACATTATAACCATCACTCAGTGCGTCTTAGTGACGAACAGAAACGTTCCTGACGAGTTCAAACCCTGAGCTCGGGGTTGAAGGCAGCAGTCACAGCCTCGAGGCTTTCTGGGTTTGATGTACCAATCTTTGCCCTCCTGAACTGGAGGACTCCCTGATGTTCCTTTTGGTTGATCTGCCCGACGATGGTGGACGTATTCTGGTATAATCTCTATAAACTTCCTCTTGTCCCACCAAGAACTTCTGATCTGCTCAAGATAATTCAATAAAACTTCAAACTCATTTGCACCTCCACTAGATGAGTCACATACACTTTGCATCACCCCAGACCCAAGGTCAAGGTCAAAGTTGAGGGCCGTTGCTACAATATGATAGTTTGTGGGACGAGTGTATGATGTGCTGTCTGAGGTACTCTGAATCCTCTTGAACTCCCCCATCAGGATGGTGGAGTCATCTTCAGATCTCTTAGGGGGTGTTTGATTGGTTTCAAGATGGGCTCTGACTGGTCTACTTGAGGGTCTTCATGGGTCTTCACAGAGTTGTCCCTAAAGGTACCATCTCACTGGGTTCAGACAGCTGGTGATGGTTTCCACAGGAAGTCTCCATAATATCTGAAACCTTCACGAGGATCCCATTTCCTCGCTGTAGTCGCAGCGGCCCACAGTCCTGCTGCTGGAAGTTCAAATCATTCAAACGACTGAATTTCTCTCAGAATAGTTGCTGCAAACGACTTACACTCTTCTCAGGTTTTGTCGTGGGCGTCCACAGTATCTCAAGTTTTCCAAACCGTGTGTTGGAAAATAAGCTTTGATTTTCTGAAATGACCTCGCAGAACACGGACACAACTCACTGGTTGTCAGCACAGAAGTTGGATATTTTCTCAAAATACTGAGTGAAGTTGGAGTCAGCCACTGGTTTAAGAGCCTCAGCCTGATGAGGAACACCCTTCATCCACTCCTGCGTTGTCTTCACCGTGTTTTGGGTCTTTGTCATGTGAGAACATGAACCATTATCCTGAAGTCCTGAGCACTGTGGAACGTTGACGATATCTGGATCCTCTGTTCAACCTGCTGCTGGAAAACACCCCTACAGCACGATGCCACCACCACCGTGCTTCACCGTTGGGATGGTGTGGAGCATTCAATTAGAAGTGCCTGGTTTCCTTTAGGTGTCCTGTTCAGAACTGAGGCCAAATATTTCAGTCTTGGTTTCATCGAACTAGAAGCTGTTTGTTCCTCACAGTCTGAGAGCCCACTGCACCAAGTGACAGGGACTGAAGCCTCTGTTTAAATGCTCATATATTTATTTTTTCACCTATTTGTGCTTGTTCCTTTCAAACTAAGGAAACTTGGATATAAAAACACAGCTCAAACCCATGCGTGACTCACCAGATGTTGCAGGTGTGCAGTGGGGCTGAGGCTTCAGTTGTCCTGGATCACAGGGTTCCTTCAAGCATGAACTTTGTCAGAAAAAGTCCTTTGTTGGATTCATAGCTGTGGTGCCAGCATCCCATCGTGCTTTGGCCCTGCAGAATCCACAGCAGACACAGGACAACTGGACCAAACGTCATGTAGTTACTGACATCAGAAAGCATCAATAAAATGTTTTATTTTCCTACTGGGTGCACGCTTCCTTTGTGCTTCATGAACTTTGTTATACAAACAATAAGGCTGATTTTCAAAACTTCCACGTTTAAAATAAATTACAAGTTTAAATATGTAGTTCACAGGAAGTACCAGCTTTACTGGATAAAGAGGAACATTTTTTTAATTTCAGCAGAATTTCTTTGACAACAACAATAAACTAATACAATATAAAACAACTTTATTTATAAAGCACTTCAAAGGAATACTCTTGACCAAAGTGATGTACACTGATAACACAAAAGTAAACTTCAAAACAACCAAATCAATTGAAACAGATAAAATATCTGAAATATCTGAAAAAAACGTTAAACCGTTAAAAACAACAAACAACATTAAAAACCAACATCTCAGATTGTTAAGGAGGAAAAAACTTCAGAGAAGATTTAAAAACAGGAAGTGACATCACAGGCAGTTCGTTCCACAGTTTAGGTGCAGCGACTGAAACCGCCTGGTCACCTCTCAGCCTCCTGCTGGACTTTGCTATGCCCAACAGCAGCTGATCAGCTGACCTGAGAGAGTGAGGGAACGTACAGCTGGAGCAGGTCAGATACTGTGAGACCATGAAGACATTTGAAAACAAATAAAAGAACTTCAAAATTAATCTGAAAACGAACTGGGAGCCAGTGTAGCGATTCTAAAACTGGTGGTGTGATCTCGTTTTCTGGTATCAGTTAAAAGGCGAGCAGCAGCATTCTGAACCAGCTGAAGTTGAGTCAGTAACGACTGGCTCTGACCAACATGAAGTGAATTAAAGTAGTCCAGACGAGTTGTGATGAAAGCATGGATTAAAATCTCAAAATGATGTTGTGACAAATGGTTTCACCGTGGCCAGTTGTCTCAAGCGATAAAAACTAGACTTGATCACTGATTTAATCTGTTCATCTAGTTCAAAATCATTGTCCATCCTCACACCCATGTTAGTTGCCGTCTCAGTCAGATTTAAAGGACCCAGGTCAGCATGGACTTTGGAACTATCACTGGGCTTTAACGGCAATACATCAGTCTTTTTCTCAATAAAATGTAAAAAGTTATGTGACATTCATCCTCTGACTTCTGCCATACATTCCAGGAGTTGGTTTATGAAGTACTGTTTATTATTTATTTATTAACCTTTATTTAACCAGACAAATCCCACTGAGAGTACAGATCTCTTTTGCAAGGTAGGCCTGGGCCTGAAGGCAGACTAACGCATGTTTTTTTGGTCTGTGGGAGGGGGTTATCTTGTTTTAATGGAACATAAATGTGGCTGTTGTAGTGAAATGTGGGGGACAGCTTAACTGTCGCTTCACTACTAATTAATTATTCTTAACGCTAGTTCAAGCACGAAGAATATTAATTGTTTAAATACAATGGATTCTTTCTTTTTCAAGTTAAATTAATGCCATTTGATGAGATAACAGAGGATTGTTTAATCAGTGACAGGAGACGCCATTTTTCTTTGACCCGTCGGAATAAATGCGGTCATTTATTTAACAGAATCAAAATTTAACATCAAAACATGTGCACATTGATTTGTTGATCTGATTCTGATTAATAAAAACTTGGCACGCTTTGCTAACAAGACAACAGAACATTTTTGAAGGCATCTAGAATACTGGCAAAATAAGTTTAAAGGAAGGAATGGATAAGTTTAAAGGAGAATGGATGAAGGAAAGATGTATGTTTGTTGACCAGAATTAGCACGCTTCTTTCAACACCAGCTCAAACCCCCGGTACACTCGGTGCGTGACGACTCGTTACCTTTGCAGAAGATAAATCGACTCTGATACAGGGTCCATTTCAACGCTACCTTTCCAGCGTCTCCGGTTAAAGCGGCTGGTCATTGTCAAAAGTCGTGTGGTTTACTCCGTCAAACAGAACAAGCTCCCTTCGAAGTTGTAGGCATGACGCCCGGGTGAGTTCACAGCGAGGCGCCGTAACTCAGTCAGAGATTCCACTCAGAAGTGGAAGACTCCAAGAAGACTCCATGAAAGACTGAGTTATACTCAGAAGACTCTAGGAAGACTCCGGTCAAAGACTGACTAGTCCCAGGAAATGTTGACTTTTAAAGAGTCCTCACTTCCGGTCACTTGGTACTCTTCCTGATTGGTTGAAACAACCAACAGGGGGGTGTTTCAGTGATGTCAGAGGGTTATTAAAAGTCAAAAGAGGCTGCAGGAATGTTTAGGAACGATTAGTACAGACAGAGAAATGTTATGGCGAAGGGAGACAAATGCAGATGCCAGTTGAAGTTATTTACCGTCTGCTAGGTTTAAAAACAAGACACTTCGTTCTAATAACTCATTTTCTGACTGTCTCTGACTTTCGACCGACATCACTGACTTCTCATTCAGACAGAAGATCAAGATGCATAATTACTTTGTAAATAGACATTTAACTTGATTTCTAATTTAAATGAGGTTTAAAAATCATTAATATTGTTTCACAGTTGATTTTAAAATGAGTGGTGTACGTCAACATTTACAAATGGTATGAACTAACACACTTTGATTATCAAGATATTCTAAAATAGTAATCATAATAAAAAAAAGAAGAGTGTTCTTTCAATTGATTAATTCAGGATACTATTAAACAGTCTCTTGATGAGCTAATTTGTATTTCTGGATTCAAATCAATGAAATAACAGTACCTGTCCCATGAAGGTCTTCAGAGACAGGTTGAGGTCGGAGGCCTAGTTCACTACAGTCCCCCCTTTGGAAATCATCGCCTGTCCATGGGGATGAATTCCAACGCGAACTTACGCCTCCAAA